ATGCACTGTCAGGGCAGCCACGGGGGAGATGTTCATGCGGGCCTGGGACAGGAGAACTGCATTTTTCATCTCAGGGTCATGAAGATCCACCTGTCTCCAGGCTGCTGCTACTTCATCTTATAAAAGCCATCCTCAGTTCTGGGTGATGCTGACATACTGGCTCTGCCTACTGTCTAGAAATTCAAACAGGATTTGAGCTTTACTGCTAGTCACTCCAAATAAATGACACAACCTTAGTGGCAGCAGTTACCCTGGGGTCCCAGGGACAGGAGTGCACTCATTCACTGTGCATTTGTAGCCTGGCCCTCTTTCTCCTTTCTCTCTTCTCCCTCTGACTCCCCAGTGCAGACTTAACCATAGATACAGGCTCTCAGGTTACTGGAAACAGCATGGTGGCATCTGTTCACTAGTGGCAACTACCATTGATGGGCCTCTGTCTGAAACGTGAAGTCAAGTGATGTAGTGATGTTTGGGGAGAGCTTTGAATACCCTTTAAAGAGAGTTTTATGAGATTTCATAAGTTTGGAATCGTATTTGAGTTACATTTAGGTCTGATGGCACCATTGCTTAGTGCTTATTATAATACCTATTTTCTTAATGCATCAAAAATATACCAGCTATTGTGCAGAGTTCTTGAATCCCTAGGCCATTTGACTTGTTCGTTGATTTATTCGTCCATTCATATGCTTACATTAAAAAAATTTAAGCTCTTACCCTGTAGACTGTTCTGAGGGATATGAGAGGAAAATAAATCATAATTCTTACCATCCAAAGTTTACTTTGTAGTTGGAGAGCACAGGCTAAGAAACAGCTAATAATTCAGTAAAGCAGTGGCTGAGGGCCCAAAAGAGTGATATGGAAAATAAATACCATTAGAACAGGAGTGAAATAGGAAATTATATAATAGAGCAGTTGGGAAAGCGGCAGCCAAAATGTAGAAGGGGAAGATGTTTAGAGGAGAGAGGCACTGCTTCTTATTCCAATAGAGAGGATGCTGCAAGGGGGTTAATGAAAAGTGTTACTGTTTAGTTGCTAAATCATGTCCAACTCTTTGTGACCCCGAGAACTGTAGCCCACCAGGCTCCTCTGTCCCTGGGTTTTCCCAAGTAAAGAATACTGGAATGGGTTGCCATTTCCTTCTCCAGGGGATCTTCCCAACCCAGGAATCAAACCCTCGAGTCTCCTTCATTGGCAGGTGGATTCTTTACCACTAAGCCATCAGGGAACCCCTTAATTAAAAGTACCTGGATGTTATTCGAGATTTGGTGAAGTGATAACTCCTACCATTTAAAAGGCTTTCATGAAGCTTTGAAATTAATACCTTATTGCCGAGAAGTCTGATGGCTTTTCATACTGTATATTTTTGCCCTTGCATTAAAAAAGGACAGAGAAGTCTGCATTTGCCAACCTGTGTTCCACCTGGACTCAAGGTCCCTGGTCCTTTCCTGTGTCCCTACCTGCCCTCCATGGTTGGGATGTGTAAATTCCACTCCTGAGTGGAGATGGTCCCTGGGTGTGATGTTTCCTAGCTGGCAGCCCTGAATGGCAAGTACCCCAGTCAAATATTCTTTTCAAGCTCTTATCTCCATTCTTTTTAGTGCTGTCTTGGCCCATCCTCAGCCAACCAAGCCATAATGGTTTGAGTGTCTACTGAATGAGAAAATGCATGTAAAAGTACTAGGGAAAGGTCAAGAAATATCAAGCATGGTTGTTATTAAACCCAAAAGGGGAAGATGAATGAGTATTAGACAGATCACTGCTGCTGTAGCTCCCTCTAGTTAGGAGTCCAGCACAAGTAGAGATAACTAGCATTAGACAGCAGCATGTGGAAGGTGCTGAGTGGAGGTTTGCAGGCCACAGGAACCAGAGATCAGAGTTTCTCTTTTATTCTCCCTTATCTTGGTTTCACTCCTTCCCCACCGCACTTTCCACTTGCTCAGAAGACCCAAGAGACCTGGTTGGGTAAAAGGAGGCTATTTCCTTTTTCCCCATAGACTTTGGAGGGGAGGGGCAAGAAATTTTTACTTTTTAAAAAATGGTTTTCACAATGATTAGACTTTGCATTCACTGAAGAATAATCAGTGCTTCCTTTTCTTTCCTTTTGGCTGCACTGGCTTTGTTGGGGTGCGTGGGCTTCCTCTGGTCTAGCATGAGGGTTTAGTTGTCCCAGAGCATGAGGGATCTTAGTTCCCCGACTGGTGGATTCTTAACCACTGCACCACTAGGGAATTCCCAAGAAATTTTTACTTTTAACTTTGATTTTATTTTTATTGGAGCTTCATGGGCATTTTATCAGTATATTATTCCCCAGGTATATTAGATTGTGAAAAACTGCTGCTGCTGCTGTTTCAATGAGCAAGTTTCCTGCAGCTCTCTTTCTGATAAGGACAGAAATCTGCAGCTCTCTGACTTTGGCAGGGGGTGCAAAGGGTCATTCTGGAATGAAATGCAACTGTAGGGAACCAGCAGGTCCTAAAGGAATCAAGCCCTTGACCTTGGTCTCGCTCAGGTTACACCATGAATAACTGAATTAATTGCTCACTGTTTAGCAAATTAAGTCAGCAAGTGCTGAAAGAGTTTTTGAATAGTCTCCCAAGGACAGTAACTCTCTTTGGGGGAACACATGGTCACCAAAAGAACCTGCTTAAATATTTTTAAGCAAATTTATTTCAGCATATAGAACTTTTAAGGCAGCAGATATATATATATATCTGTGATTGTGTCAACCAAATTCCTTAAGGGTGACTAAGATTGAAGAGAGTTTAGAAGTCTGAGAGGTCTTGTTTAACCATGGTTCAGCCTCTCTGGAGCTGGGTGATTTTGCAGAATAAATGGTTCCCCTTCTCTGTTTAGCTTCCCTATTTGTCAGTGGGTTAGATTAGGATTATCTAGACAGTAAAAGAGGGGTTTGGGTTTTTGTCACCAGAATACCCCAAACCAGCAGAGGAGGATAAATGGGTACTTTAGGGAACCTGGGGGGCATAGTCTAAAGCCTCCCAAATGCAAAATTTTGTTGAGATCAGTTTTGTCTAAAAATTCATCTAAGTGTTCTGAAGCTTTACAAATGGAAAATTTTGTTGAAATCATTTTTTCGTTTGCCTGAAAATTCACCCAAGTGTTGCATGCTAGTCCATATCATATTCGTGTTTACTGTACAGCATCCGCTTGTCTCCAGACTGAGTAAAGCCAGCCTATCGGGAAGATGTACCATATTTATCTTGAGCTTCAAGTAACTCCTGGCAGTACTGCCTTTATTTAATCTGTAGGTTGTGATCTGGAGTTTTAAACCAGCTCTGGGGAGCTCTCAGGCTACAAGGCAGATCACTGGGCCAGTTACTGAGCTTTGGCTTTACATTTCTAAAACTAGATTGGGGTAAGAGAACTCTCCAGGCGTTCATCCTCATCCTTTTAATAAATAGATATTACATTTTCTTTAGTTGATATACTATCTAGGTCTGTAGATGGTTTGTAGTTGTATGTATTGTGGTTGGTGATGTGGGTATGAATAGTTTAGGACACAAGGATCAAAACAACCTGAGAAGATGGTCTGAAAGAAAAACTGAGTTCTTGCACAGAAAAGAGATTAGAAGTATAGAAAGAAAATTTAGTTATGTCGTTTGCTTCTATAATAATTATTATAAAAAATAATTGAAAGTTAGGAAGGAGTTTAAGTTCTTTGTTTTTAAGTTGAGGATTTTTTCAATCTCCCCACCACTGATTGGTTATTAATATGAGCGATCTCACGTGAAACTGCAACAAGTCGTTAAAATTTCTTCCAGCAGAACACATTGCAGTGTGACACAAAATGACTAAGCAAGTTTTAGAGAATCATCTTTTTTGTAAGTTGTAAAAATGGCTGTATAATCCCTTTAAAGTCCACATCAGCTCTCTTTGCTCAGAAGGAGTTAAATCCTCAAGACCTGACAGTCTTAAGTGACTGGAAGCCATTGGTGAAAATTCTATAAACCTAGCGGAAATCTGTTGCATTGTTTTCTATAAACTACAACCAGAGCTCATTAACTGAAAAATGAATGTCAATTTGCATTAGCTGGCATCTCTAAACCCAAAAGGTACAGTGATCCCGGCATGTGATGGATAATAAAAACATCAGCCAAATATATCAGGTAAAATCAAGAAGTTGGGGGTAGGGGGTGGAGAGATAAATTCAAAGCCACATTGGAGTTTACTGGCAGGGTCCCACATAAAGGGTTTTAATAGGGCTTCTGCATTAAAATAAGGGAAACCACATGGAATTTTAATTATAAGGACAGGATATTTTAAGTATAAATACGAGAAGCATTTTTTACATTGATGAGCCTATCTGTGTGAGCTCTGTGCTTCTGTGGAGCAAACGCTGCTGTTTTAAGTGTGACTTCTTTCCTTTTGAAATTGCTCACGTTATTCTGGTTTCTCTCACACGAGCTGAGTGTTGAACTTAATGCGTACAGAAGTGGCCTGCCTACACCTATTAACTCTGCCGACTCAAGTTCACCTAGATGCCCTGCGATGAAAATGGGGCTGGCCGAGAACATCTGTGGTCTCCATGCTGGGCCTGTATCATGTCAGGCACTACAGGAGCCCGGGGCAGGGAGATGGCAGATCACATCTGTGCTCCCGTGGGCAATTCTGTCCGCGTCCCTCCTTGCACCTTTTCACACTTGAACTTGTCAGCATTTCGTGCTTGGGAGGGGTTAGGGAGAGGCCAGCGGAGGATGGAAGAATTTATCAAAAGCAGAGAGCAACTGCCCAGACTGTGCGAGTTTTGGTTTGTCATCTTGAAAGTGTTTGCTTCCGGTATTAGAAGCTAGCTGCTCACCAGCTTTTCCCCCTCTGCTTATGGGGCCTGTGGATTCCGGGAAGGTTTACTGTGAGGGGTGGGAACTTCCCAGCCTCCCCCCCACCCTCCCCCAAGGCAGTAGCTTCTCCTGCTGTCTTGGGATTCACGGTGACAGAACGGTAGAACCAGAAGGGAACTTAGAGCTCATCCCCTCATTTTACAGATGATGACACTGCCACCTCTGACTTCTGCCTCTGGCCTTCCACTCTCAGTAAGAAGAGCCAGGCAGGTGAGACTTTTCACAATTGCCGGGTTGGGCTGGGTGGGGTTGTCTGACTGAGACTGCCCGTTGAGTGAGAAACACTTCTGTTAACGACATATTGCTTTGAAGCAGTCACTTCTAGTTATCGATGCCCACCAAGGCGCTTAACCCAAGTGTTTTACAAAGGACACAAGGCAGTGTGCATTTTAACAGAAATGAACAACTCTCGATCAGCACCTTGAAAGAAGAGGATTGGGATGATTCTTTAGGATCCGAGAACAGGGGCTAAATAAAAAGGAAGCTGAAGAAGTACCTGCTCACTAAGGCCTTCAAGAATTACCGAGTGAGACTTCACCGGTGGTCCAGTGGTTAAGGTGGTCCACTCTGCCTTCTAGTGCAGGGGACACAGGTTCGATCCCTGATGGGGGAACTAAAATCCCACATGCTGCTCATGGTGTGGCCAAAAATTTAAAAAAAAAAAAAAGAATACTGAGTGTTTTCCCTTATAGATAAAAGTGGTAGGAAAAGCAAATATATGAGATCCAAAGGACGGGAAGAGTTCAGGTGTGAACAAAATCTTTAAGAACATTGGTATTATCGAAGGGCTTGTCACAATTCTGTCAGTGTTAGAAATTCATAACCCAGTCTTTAAAGATCACAGCTATAAGTTTTTGGCATTTCCGAAAACTAATTTCCACATGAAGTGGTTTCTAACTATGATTTCATAAGTTGAGCGCCAGAAATACCCATTTAGGAGGCATCCTGTTAGTTTTAGAAGTTAAAGGACCTCATGTTTTAGGGGAAAACGGTCTTTGCTTCAGGCTCCCAGTTCAAACTGGCCTGCAGCTAATTCTGTAGGATGTGGTATATGGGCCCGGTAGGTGGATGGTGAGATGCCCTCCTGTTCTTTCTCCTCTTCCAGGGAGCTTTTCCCCAAAGCTGCTGTTGGCACGTGGCCTTAATCGAGTCTTGCTTCTCCCATCAAGACTTGAAGTGCAGTGATTACTAAGTGCCACCCACTTTCAATCCTACTAGCTTATGACCCTCAGCAGAATTTCTAAGGGTCAGACTCTCCCTATATGACCCCAGATACATAAGCTAGTTCCAGAAAACACTGAACTCTAGTTTGATTTTCTTTTTGAAATCAGTTACTAAGATGAGGAAAAAATACATAAATTGGTTACTAAGATAAGGATTTTACATTATTTTACAAGTTCAAGTGATAGACCCATGTTAGGGTATCTTTTTGATATTCCTTCATTGATGAAAGGGCCCTACAAGAGTATCAATACCAAAACAGATCATTTTGGAATTTGTTTATATTGGGTGAGAAAAAGAAATGTGTCAGACTTAGTATGAAGGTCACTTCCAAATATCTGAGGTGCCCCAAGAAACAGGAAGGGAGGAGAAAAAAAATCAATGAGGATTCAGTCTAAAAGTCTGGTGAGTGAAATCTGTCTCGCGGAGTATGGGGTTTATATGCACAACCTAGCACATATTTGGGTTTTTTAAAGCCCTTTGGGATTCTCTGGGGCGGTGGGAGGTGGGGTGTGTGTGAAGAACTTGAGGCTAAAAGACTGTAAAGTGAAAAAAGAAAAAAAACAAAAAACCCAAAGACTGTGTAGTAACTGGTGCATTTGAAAGTCTGTTTGTGGCTTGCTGGTCCATTGGGGAAAAGCTAAAGTTTTCTTTCTTTCTTTTTTTTTTCCTTGTAAAAGAAAAAAATTCTTTCATGATTTTGACTGATATTTACAGATGTTTCCCCCCCATCTTCTGTTGTAATTTTTAGGTGCTTCAGAACTGGGCCCTTTTTCAGACCCCAGGCAGTTCCCAAGCATTTCATCCCTCACTGAGAGCCGCTTCTCCAACCCACGAATGCACTATCCAGCCACCTTTACTTACACCCCGCCAGTCACCTCAGGCATGTCCCTCGGTATGTCCGCCACCACCCACTACCACACCTACCTGCCACCACCCTACCCCGGCTCCTCCCAAAGCCAGAGCGGACCCTTCCAGACCAGCAGCACGCCATATCTCTACTATGGCACCTCGTCAGGATCCTATCAGTTCCCCATGGTGCCCGGGGGAGATCGGTCTCCTTCCAGAATGCTACCGCCGTGCACCACCACCTCGAATGGCAGCACGCTATTAAACCCAAACCTGCCCACCCAGAACGATGGCGTTGATGCCGACGGAAGCCACAGCAGTTCCCCCACCGTTTTGAATTCTAGTGGCAGAATGGATGAATCTGTCTGGCGACCCTATTGAAACTTCCTCAGCAGTGGCCCCAGTGGTCTCGGTGGGGAGCCACATCCCCAGTGTATCGACATATACATATATAGAGAGTGCATATATATGTATATCAACTCGCTATCTACAAAGTGCCTGTTTTTTTAGAAAATTTTCTTTTCTTCTTTTTGTTTTTTTTGCATTCAGTCACTCTGTCACGATCTTGCAACCCTAAGAGGGTAAATCTTGTAAAGCGAAAGGCCCAAGAGAGAGACAGCCCTAACCAGGTTTCAGATCATTTTCTATTTAAACATGTACCTTTGCAAACAAACAAAGGGAAAAAAAAAGGTATTTTTTGTTTGCTGTTGTTGTTGGGTCTCTTATCCTCAATCATCTGTTCAGATGCCAGTTCAGAGAGGTGGACTCCAAGTCCAGGAGGAAGAGCAAAGCCGCTTCCTCCCTGTGTTTTGAAACCACACGTCCTCACGGTTCACGGCGTTGCAACACGTGGACCTGTGCCCTGGGCAGACCTGCTTACAAAGCCGGTCCAGGTGCCCGCGAAGGGAAGAGAGGCAGAAAGGAATGCTTCCACTCCCCTGCCATCCACTCAGAGCAACTGTTCCAAACTTTTGCTTTCATGCTTTCTGCAAGTACTCATTTGAACTGTTTGGTTCAGTTGTTTTTATTATTATTATTTTTTCCTACTTTAAGAAAGTGACTTCAAAAACAATACTGATCAGGATAGATTATTTTATTTTACTTTTTCATACTTCTTTTTTCCTTTTCCCATTGAACCAAAAGGAAATCCGATACCGAACCACGTGCCCCCTCCAACCCACTCCTTCTCCTTTTATGCAAAACTGAAAATGGCAATACCTTATTATAGCCATAACGGTAGAGATAGTGTTTGCGTTTGGCTGTGTGTTATTTGTCTTCTTTTTTTTTTAAATTATGAATATGTGTAAAATCTGAGGTAACTTGCTAACGTGAATGGTCATATAACTTTAAAGATATATTTATAATTATTTAATGACATTTGGACCCTTGAAACATTTCTTAGTGTATTGATATGTTGACTTCGGTCTCTAAAAGTGCTCTTTATTAAATAACAAATTTTTTCAGTGGGCTAGAGCCATATCTGAAATATTGCTAAGCAATTTCAGTTCATCCAGGCACAATGTGATTTTTTAAAAATACTTCCATCTCCAAATATTTTAGATGTAGCTTGTTTTTGCGATGTATGAAGGAATTGATATATTTCGTTCTTTTCAGATCTTTGATTGCCTCTAACACAGCTTTGCCTTTTAAAAAAAAAATAGCAATAATTAGAGATTTAAAAAGCAACCCTGAGTCCTTTATCACGTATGTTGCCCTTTATCAGCATAAAATGCTGGAGTGATGTGGTTTCCTAATTTCTTTGAAATAGTGATGACTCTCGTCATATTAAAAGACAAGCACAAGTGAATCCTTGAACTGCAGAATGGCGTTCTGTGGTTTCATAGTTAAAGCAAAACTCAAAATTGCCAGGCTTCATGCTGAAGATGCAGTCAGCTTAAAGCCACACACGTAGTTGAAGGATCAGTCACGATACTCAAGGTACAGGAGAATAGAACTGTGCCAGGGAGCCTTACCCAACCTGCCTTACCCAGACAGTAAGTCAGGGGAACCCAAATCTGCCTTAGCCTGGGCCCCACTGGCAGCTCTCCACAGAATTTGCATTTAAAGAAGCAGAATTAAGTCACTGTCTTCTGGGAGCAGGGTCATCTGAAGGGGCAGGCAAGTTCCAACAGGCAGCTGATCTGAGAACACACAGCCTCTGATACTCATTGTATTTCACCGTGGAGGGTGTCGGGAAGGCAAGGCTAGGTGGAATCTGGTGTCTACTACTGTGTGTGAACCTGAGCTGAAGGCCTCCTGTCAGATGCACTCTGAGCTCTCCTGGTCCTTAATCCAAGCCAGGATCCTGTCATGACACCACCAGGCAGATCCCCACCTGCCTCCCCCACAGGTCAGGGCTCTTTCATTCAAAGTCTGTGCCCCCCCAACCCCCGCCCTAGGCAGAACCTGATAGAGATTTGCCTCCAGCCCCCAGAAGCCCCTTGCTTCCTGGTCATCCTCCAGCCCACTTCATAGACCCACCAAGCATCTCAGGATAGCTCAAGGGGCATTGGACCTGTGCTTCTCACCTGGGAATTCACCCTGACTCCCCCTAAGAAAAATCGAGGGGAACACCAAACCAAACCAAACCAAGACACTTTGCCTTCTAAAGGTTGTATACCGAGTATGCCTAGATAAATAAGCCACTTTTCTATTCCTAAAGATGGAAGTAGTAATGGATACTATTTATTGTTTGTGTGTGGTAGCTTGAAGCACACCACCGTCCATTTATTTTTAAATGTAAAATATGTGTGTTTGTTTCAGCAGCACTTAAAAAAGCCAGTGTCTGGTTACACATTTCAATCTTAATTAATTGACATAAAAATGTTATCTCCAGTGCCAGCTATACCCTATTTAATAAAAAAGGTACTATATCTGTACATTCTTGTTTAATGTTAAAAGGGCTTTTTTAAGTTTACAGTACACATACTAAGTGACTTGAGGGACGCTTTTGTGTTGAAATGTTAGTAATAGTGGCTGCAGGCAGCAACCCAGAAACACTTTAAAAGCTTTTTTTTTTCTTGGGAAAAATTCAAGCACTTCTTCCTTCTCTCCTCACTCTAACCATTTCAATGGGGCAATTTACATTTCTTAGATTAAATTTGGCCCTTTTTCAGCCTGGGGGTTAAATTTTGCTTTTTTTTTTTTAAAAAAAAAAAGCAAGTCCTTAATTTGCACTGAGTCACGTGCATGATTTGTGATTTCAAGATTAAAACAAAGCCTTTCTGCTACTATGGAACCGTGACCTAGCCAGCACTGTACTTTCTTCAGGTTAAAATGACATGGTTTACAACGTCACCAGTACGGCCACTTTTTTAAAGAACAAAACAACATAAAAAACCTGTTTTAACCTGTGTCAGAGTTCCAGAATAGGTACCAAAGATTTTTAGATTTTTTGTGAAATGACATCCAGCTTAGAACGCAAAGATTCAACAGCTCTGGTTCACTCTTCAGGCCGTCTTACCCCCACCAGGACCTTTTAAAAGTGGGCAGAGAACTGCACACCATTAGGCCCCATTCATTGTGGATTCAGAGGGGAGGAGATGGGTGTACTGGCTCAAAGAGTTCCCTCCATTACCAGGAAAGCGACTGACTCAGAGTCTAGGGAAATACATGAAAACACAAAGCATTAGCAAAAACAATAATTATACCTATGACATTCAAAAGAACTATAATAAATAAATAAAAGATGACATTTTGAAACCTTGAATTTGTTGTTCTTAAAAAAGATAATGCCTTTGAAACGTGTTTTCTATGTGAGAAGTTTTTAGATGTTTGTTTACTTCATGTTTACAAATAACTGTTTGCCTTTTCATGCAGTACTTTGAAATATTATCAGCCAAAACCATAACTTACAGTCATTTCTTAGGTATTCTGAATAAAATTCCATTTTTTTTTTGGATATGCTTTACCATTCTTAGATTTCTGTGGAACAAAAATATTTGTAGCATTTTGTGTAAATACAAGCTTTCAATTTTTATTTTTTTTCCAATCGCTGTTGCCCAAAACTTGCTTTCGTGCACATATTGTACAAATTCTGCTTTGTGCCACAGGTCATGATTGTGGATGAGTTTACTCTTAACTTCAAAGGGACTATTTGTATTGTATGTTGCAACTGTAAATTGAATTATTTGGCATTTTTCTCATGATTGTAATATTAATTTGAAGTTTGAATTTAATTTTCAATAAAATGGCTTTTTTGGTTTTGTTATGTGTGTACACTGGGTTTTTTCTCATCCGCGGCTTCTTCTCTTGTCTGATGCCTGCTCCTGTCTACACCTGGGCACTTATTGGTCATAGGACTTGCCAGGACTGGATGAGAGCAGAGATCCTATATTATTGGTGAGAGGAAAAGCATCTTGGTAAGCGCTGGATTCTGCTTTGGACCTGGGTTCGACCCCTGGGTCGGGAAGATCCCCTGGAGAAGGGAATGGCTACCCACTCCAGTATTCTTGCCTGAAGAATCCCATGGATAGAGGAGCCTGGCAAGCTATAGTCCATAAAGTCACAGAGTCAGACACGACTGAGCGATTGACACAGAGATGGGTGGGTGAAGAATCTAGGAGTGCGCTCATTTCCTTACCAGCCTGTTGTCTGAAGAAAGGAGTGCTCACCCCACTCTTGGGTAAAGCCCCTTATTCCAACTGGGGGACCAGTCGGGGTGGAAAGACGGCAGCTTCGATGGTTCCATGCCTCTCATCTCCAGGCACATATGTAGGGCCAGCAGTGAACCCTCGACTAATTACAAGAGCTGCCCAGCCATAGGGGACGATCTGTTTTCCTCTTCACATCTCTTTGGGGTTCCTAAAAAGAAAGTCAACCAAAGATGAGGATGAGTAAAAACGGTCCTTGGCCTGGGGAGCTCTAGCCTCAGAAAAATTCTGCTAGTAGTGAGCTTAACTACTTTGGAGACTTTTATTCTGAGCCACTGTTTATGTTTGTAAGTCCCTCCTCTGCAAGAAGGTCGAGGGCCTGGGTTAGTGTGGTTGCTTTCTTTCTGGCCTGTGCTGTCTATGTGTCTTGGCTTATCACACTTCTAGGGAGGGACAGGGAAACCTCGGTACCTATGAGCACGACCACTGGCTGGGGGCCCACGTCACGCTATGAATTAGAGGCTGCCTTTCAGATCTGCTCATTCTTACCTCTTTGGCTCTGGTTTCTAAAAGAGCTTAGCAACCACTCATTTCTAAGCTTAGGAGACATCCTAAAAGCAGTTGGGGTGAACTCAGGCCGGGGAACTTGTTTGCAACTCTTTGAGGATGCATATTTATTTATCCTTGTAAGTTAAACATCTGTGTGACTTTAAAAGGCATTGCACGGGAGGTGGGCACGGTGGCTCTCTTGGCCTTTCCAGCTTTGTCCAATGGCAGCGGGGTTTAGGGTGCAACACTGTCCTCCTCGGGGGTCTCAGCTTCTTGGTTTATGGAAAGGTGCTGGGCTAGACTTTGGTGCTATTGACATTTCAGGCTGGATAATTCTTTGGCATGTGTGCAGGGAGCTGTTCTGTGCAATGAAGGATGTTTAGCAGCATCCCTGGCTTCTACTGGCCATATGCCATGAGTAGCTACCCAGTCCTGTTGGTGAAAAATGTCTCCAGACATTGTCAGATGTCCCCTGGGTGGGGCGGGGTGGGGTAGAGGGGTGCAAAATCGCCCCGATTGAGAACCATTGGGCCAAAGGCTCCAACTTCTTAGGTATTCTGTACAGAACCAGTGTGAGAAGACATTGCTCATTCAAACAGAAGAGTCAGGCAGGATACCTAGGGACTTCCCAGGGAGGCATGCCCATCACCCTCTCTCACCGCCTCACCTGATGGCACTCTGAGGTCTGCATGTGTCGGGAGTGTGGCTCCTGGCGCTCTCTTCTGCACTGCCTCCCTCCTCCCCGCTTCATGGGCCATGAAGCCCTCGATCAGCACAGCTGTGGGGCTTTGCTAGGACTGGCTGGCTTGGCTGTGTTCATCAGCACTCTCTGCTTCTCACTGGAAACGACCGGCAGAAGAAGAAAGCAATTTCTCCAGTGTTTTTGACCCTTTGTGCCCCCTGCCCCCCGAATATTGAATCATCAGACATTTCTTAGAGAGTGGGTGTTTCCTGTTAACTCAATCCCGGCCGAGACCGGCCCCATAAACACCTCAGCTCTCTGTCGCAGAGTTTATTTGGCTGGGAAATGGGTATTGCCATGTAAACAGGAAGCCCCCTAAAGTTATTATCTGCAGATGCGGTTGAAGAGCCACATGTTTATATTTATGGGATTTGAGAACAGTCTGGAAAGGCTGGGAAGGAGGTAGACGTTCGCTGGGAAGGCAGGGCCTGCAGACCTTCACAAGCCGATGTTTCAGCCCCTCTGGAAGCGGGTGGCTAATTGCACTGACGCAGCCAAGAGCCTGTGTAGAAATGGAGGTACCGGCTGATCTGATGTCAGCAAACACCCCTACCTACATGATCAGGTTAACGGGGGTGTGATCCAGTTTCATTGTCCGTCGCAATCATTTAAAGCTAGTTTAGAGACTTGTCGTAGGAAACAAGGGTTTTGTTTTTTTTTTTGGTTGTGGGGTGGTTTGTGATAAGATTGCTATTTTGTAGTCTCTAAGTTTTTCTGGGGGAAGTCAACTGACCACCTCTGTCTCAGTGAGCGCAGCCCAGCTTCCCTGTGAGACCCCAGGCAGACTCCTGCATTAGCTCCTAAAGTTGGCTGAAAGGGCCTGGAAAGGATGCCTTCGTGGGAGGGTCTGCACCCCCTGAGCTGTCCGGGTGTTGGTGCAGAGGATGTTGGGGGGCAAGGCAGCTGGCTTCTCCCTCGCTCTGGGTGACCTGGCCACTTCCATCCCTTCTCCACCACCTCTGCTCTTCCTTCCTGGGCTTTCTCCTCGGGCCTGGAGAAGATGCTTAAGAAAGGCCAGGTAGTAACCAATACATGGATAGGTCCTTATTGAATTATGAGCTCTGAGCAAAGGCAAGGGCATTTCCTTGCTCCTTACCAGCCTTTTTTTGTAGCTCCCCCAGGGCTTCATAGCAGTAGCTATTCAATTGCGAGGCTTTGAAAATGAAATTAAAAAAAATAATAATTCATCAAAATTTAGCCTAGGATCCACTGCAGAGGTAAAGGGTAATACACTAAGCGGGGGGTGTGTGTGTATGTGTGTGTATCTTGGGTGTGTGTGTGTGTGTTGGGTGTGTGTGTGTTGGGTGTGTGTGTATGTGTGTGTCTTGGGTGTGTGTATGTGTGTGTGTTGGGTGTGTGTGTGTTGGGTGTGTGTGTGTGATGGGTACATGCACGCCTGAAGGGAGGGAAAGGGAGGGAGAAGGGGAAAGGGATGGGAAGATGTGCCAGAGCAACCTTTCAGGGAAAGATGAGGCTCCGGGCACACACAGATGCCCCTTGACACAGCATTTATTTGCCTCAGATGTTTTTACTCCTGCAAATTCTGCAAAAAAGCACACCTTCCTCCCGCAAGCAATTATTCTTCCTCAAATAGGTTATTTAGAAGGGATCGGGGACACGGGCCGCCTCCCTGAGATGTCAGGAGCACAGTGATGCGGTCGACTAGGAAGGGCTATTATTCATTTTTGTAAAGCATTTTTATTCACAAGCGTTCCGTGATTCAACCGGCCCTGCTGTCCTGACAGACATGCTCAACCAGTTGGAAAGCAGAAGGATCGAATTTCTAGAAATGCACTAAATGTTTACTAAAACTTAACTTTAATTTTGTTTTTTTATGATCTTGTTGCGGTGATGTCTGACCACTCAGTGGGGTTTTCTGAAAAACCTACTTTATGTCTTAGCATCACAAAGGTAGCTCACATGCTTTTTTCCTGGTTCTGTGTCACTCCACAGCCAATAGGAAGGGAGGAATACCACCCCTGCCCACACCCCCACAGAAATATCACCCTTATGGAGAAACCGAGACCATCTAGCAAAATGCTGGGAAAAAATGGGGGCCAGGGCAGGCCAGGGACAAGCTAAAGAACTTCCACATAAGCCCCTCAAGAACTAATTTTGTCTTCACCACACAGAAGAGATCAGAACACAGAATTGCAGCCAGGTCTTGTGTGGCCCTGTTCTCCTACTGCCTTGCGGCATTTCTCTCCGAGACCCCAAAGTCCCCGAGGTAAACCAGTGCACGGATGGAAGGAAGATGGAGTAGGATCCGTGGACTTAGGAGATACAGCATACAGTGGCAGAGCCGGAGCAGGGTTTTGAGAGATGAGGGTACCAGGAATTCCCAAAACACAATCAGATGATGCTTTGGTGTAAAAGTGCAAATTTAAAAATAGCAGAAGGCCAACACACAAAACCATGTGATGTGTATAATCGTGAGAGCCTTAATACAATGGCTTTATGATTTAAATCTCCTTGGACATCCTTTCCGTCTTAAATTAGGTCATTTATTGATTTGTTTATTTTTATTTTTTTAAATAACTGCTTCCATCTCTAGCAGTGCACAACTCTGGCCAGTTTCACTTTCTGTTTCTCTGTGAGTTTCTCTCTGTTCTGCTGCCCTAAAACGAGAGGAACCTTTTGTGGGACTTGTGACAGACCCCAGTAATGTCTTAGCTCGATTCTCTTTTTCCCTCACAGTCATTTAATATTGAAATCTTGAAAATCACAGTGACCTTTCTCCTTTTTAGTCGTGTGCCCAGAGAGTCTCTCTGGGTGTGGCTACTATGAGGGTGTAGAAAATCCAACTCCTTATCAAGATCTTATTAGTGGTTTTATAGATGAGAAAGGCAGAGATTATTACTGAGTGTAATTCTCTACCACAACTTCTGGGGCACACTGGGAACTCAAACTGTGGAGGAGAGACTTCTGGGCTGACTTTCACTCTTCTCGAGCATCAAGCGGAGGGAAGGATCCAGGAGGGATGCAAGGCGGAACTTTAGCAAGGAGTTAAGTGGTTAATAGGAACTCAGTTTTTTTTTTTTTTATTGGCTAATAAAACCTCTCAGGGTTTTTCATATTATATGGTTCCTTCAGGCTTCTAGCCCAATGCTTAAAAAAAAAAAGGCAAAAGATGAAAACAACAACAGAAAAGCTGGAGTCTGAATACCCATGCAGTCCCAGTCTTGTTTACTTTTTCATTTCCGCAGTTGTAAAAAAAAAAATATTTTTCCTCTGGTAGTTCAACTTTATCACACTGAAGGAGCTGGGCAGTATTTGAACAACTCCAGCAATTCTTGCCTCCCAGTGAAAGGAAAAATTACGCT